AATTATATATAATATATATAATCATATATATTATATTAATTATATATTATATTTAATATGGTAAGGAAATGTATAATATGTTTAAGTTATTAAATACATTTAACAATCATTAAAATTTTAAAGTTTTAGTTTTAAACAGGACTATTTAGCTATTTGGAATATTAACTTATTTGAAATAGCTTACTTCCTGAGGAAACCCGATGAGTTTTTGGCTGTTGAGTCTGAATTGTAAAGCAGAAAGGGACTTTAGAGATCATAAGTCCAAATCTATTCATTTGTCAAATGGAAATCTTCTGTTTAGAGATCAAGGCTTGCTTCACACTTCACAAAAGTAGTTATTGGAATTTGAATTTAGTTTTCTTGGCTGTTGGTCCATTTTGTTGTTTATATATACTAAGTTTGAGGGTACTTGAAGCTGAAATCTGTGTAAAGTGTTCTTTTTTCATTTGTCTATATGATGTACTAGTATTCAAGATTTGAAAGAGAGAATTAGACAACGCACCAACTTACCACTGGGGCCAAGTATTGATACTCATGGGGAAACTTTTCTATCCCAAGAAGTGGTGGTTAATCTTTTACAAGAAACCAAACAAGCCTTTGAAAGATGCCATAGGGTAAGAGTGATTGTAAATTTATTCTGTTTGTACAGTTGTCCCTTGGTATCTGTGGGGATTTGGTTCCAGGACCCACCTGTGAATACCAAAATTCACAGATGCTCAGATCCCTTATATAAAATGTGTAAGATTTGTGTAGAATCTACGCACATCCGCCTGTATGCTTTAAATCACCACTAGATTACTTACAATACTTAGCACAATGTATACGCTGTGTAAATAGTTGTTATAACTGTATTATATGGGGAATAATGACAAGAAAAAAGGTCTGTACATGTTTGGTACGAATAGAACTATGCTTTTTATTTTCAAATATTTTTGATCTGCATTTAGTTGAATCCATGGATGCAGAACCAACAGATTTGGAGGGTTGACTATATATAGTTGTGTATTTTAAGTTTTATCTTGTTTATATTAAGATATAAATCTAGCTGGTTAAGAACAAATGTTTTTTATAATAAAAAATTTTTATGATTAAAATTTATTCCTAATCTGTTATATGAGATTTTTATTGGAGAACAGAATTATTTTATAATTAGGAATAAATTTTAATATAATTGTATATTAAAGTTGAGCAGATCACATTTTCTTTCTGTAAGACTAAATGAAGATATGAAAGGGAAGGTTAGATCTTTCTCACAAACAGATGGAGCTTCAGGGAAAGAACAGTGTTTTAAGAATATAGACATCACAGGGAAAGAATGAGAATTTAGAATTTCTCTTCTTAACAAATACACTTTCCTTTTTCTTTTTTGAAACACACTTTAAACAAAGTAAATAGATAAGTCACAGCCTGTGAGAAAGTATTTGTAATCAATACTACTAGCAAAAGATTATCTGAAACAAATAAGAAGAGCTGATAATTTTAGAGCATATACTGTGTTACAGGCATTATTATAAGCACTTTAGGTAGATACATCGACTTATTTAATCATCATAGCAACCCTGTGAGGTTGTTATTCTTGTTTTACAGATGAAGAACTGAGATCCTAAGCTTTTAAGTAGTGGAAGTTAAGAGTTGAGGCAGTCTTCATTTTTTATTTATGTTGATATATATAATCTATTTATATTGAGGGATGGTAAATCAATATAAATTATATATATAAATATAAATCAATAAAAGACAAAGACTGCACATAAACAATTTATAAAAAAGCAAGCGTAAATTATCAATGCAATATTAAATCTCACCAATAGAGAAATGAAACTTAAAATAGAAGTAGCATGTCATTTTCATTTGATTGGCATAAATTAAGTCTAATGATACTAAGTGTTGATAATGAAGTAGAGCAATAGGGATTTTCACACACTGCCAACGGGAGTGAAAATTGGTATGGTTACTTTGAAGAGTAATTGGGCAGTTTCTTAGAAAAGCTCATATGTTCACATAATATCTAACATCATAATAGCATTATTACAGTGAAAACTTAGAAGCAAACTCAATGTCTGTCAAAAAGAGAATTGATAAACTGGTATTGTTCATACACTAGAAAACTACAACAATTTAAATGAGTGAAGTAGAGTTATATGTATCAACATGAATAAATTTCAAAAATACTTAGTAGTGATATGAGTAGATCATACAGTATTTCTTTTAAGAAACAACCAAACTAATAGAGTATATAGTGATATATCATCATGGATTTATTTTTCATTTTCCTAATGAAATGATGATTGATGTTGAGCCAAGTGCTTATTTGACATCCTTAAATTCTCTTTAGTGAGGTATTTGGATCTTTCAATCATTTTTTAGTTAGGTTGTGTGTTTTCTTATTATTTGAGTATTTTGTATTCTGGTTACAATTTGTTTATCAAATATGTGATTTGCAAATGTTTTCTTTCAGTCTGTGGCTTGTCTTTTTATTCTCTTAACAGGATTTCAAAGAATAGAAATTCGTAATTTTGATGAAAACCAATTTAACACTTTCCTGTTATGGATGGTGTCTTGGATGTCATATTTAAGAATATTTGCCTAACCAACAGTTATAAAGATTTCCTCTAATATTTTCTTTTAGTGGTTTTATACTTGGAGGCTTTACGTTTAGGCTTATAATCAATTTTGAGTTAACTTATGTATATCATATGACATATGGATCAAAGTTCATTTTTGTACAATTAGATATCCAGTGTTTCACTACTATTTATGGAAAAGACTATCTCCACTGAATTGCTTTTGACCTTTGTCAAAAATCACTTGAGAGTCTATTTCTGGATTCTGTTCTGTTCTATTGAGCTGTTTGTATTATACCAATACTATGCTGTCTTAATTGCTGTAACTTTATAATAGGTCTTGAATCAGGTAGTGCAGGTACTCTAACATTTTCATATAAATCATTTTGTGTATAAGTCTTACAACAGCTTGTTAGTTTCTGGGGGGATGGGGGGAAGCCTGAGATTTTAATTGGAATTGCATTGAATTTATAGTTCTATTTCGGGTGAATTGATATCTTCCCCCCGACCCCCTTTTTTGTTTGAGACAGAGTCTCACTCTATCATCCAGGGTAGAGTGCAGTGGGTCAGCAAGCTCACTGCAACCTCAAACTCCTGGGCTCAAGTGATCTTCCTGCCTCAGTCTCCTGAGTAGCTGGGACCACAGGCATGGGCCACTATACCTGGCTAATTTTTCTGTTTTTAGTAGAGATGGGATCTCACTCTTCCTTAGGCTAGTCTCAAATTCCTGAGCTCAAGCAATGTTCCTGCCTCGGCTTCCCAGAGTGCTAGAATTACAGGTGTGAGCCACTGCACCCAGCCGAGAATTGACATATTTTTTGATATTATAATGTAATGTAAATGGTATTTTTAAAATACATATTTAATTTATAATTTAATTTAGTTGTTTGTATATGGAAATATAATTGATTTTTTTTATGTGTTGATCTTGTATCCTGCAATCTAACTAAACTCACATATTCTAATAGTTTGTTTTTGTTTTTGGTAATTTCCACTGGATTTTCTGTATGGACTGTCATATTATCTGCCCATAAAGACAGTTTTACTTATTTTTTCCAATATAGATGCCTTTTAGTTTGTTCTTTTTTGTTACTACACTGGCCATACTCCCAGTACAATGTTAAATAGAAGTGGTAAGAACAAACATCTTGCATTATTCCTGATCTTAAGAGTAAAGCATTGAGTCTTTCACCACTAAGTGTGATGCTAACTGGGTTTTTCACAGATGTTCTCTTTGAGATTGAGACAATTCTTTTTGGTTCTAGTTTGATTCTAATTTCTACAAGGATTAGATGTTAGATGTTTTTCAAATATTTTCTTTTTATTCTGTTAATATGATAAATTATATTGATTGATTTTCAAATGTTAGCCTTGCATTCCTTTCATAAACCCTGATTGGTCATGAATTGACCATTGTCCTATTTATATTTTGTTGGATTAGGTTTCCTAAAGTTTTATTAAGAATTCTTCTGTTGTTCATGAAGGATATTGGCCTTTATTTTTCTTTTAAGTCTTTGGTTTTGGTAGCAGGATAATGTTGGCCTCTTAGGATGGGTTTAGAAGTATTTCCACCACTCATCATTCAGTTTTCTGAAAGAGTTTGTATAGAATTGATATTCTTTCTTTTTTAAATATTTGGTAGGATTCACCAGTGAAGTCATTTGGGCCTGCAGTTTTATGTGTGAGGATTTTTAACTACAGTTCAACTTCTTTAGTAGATAAAGAACTGTTCAGGTTATCTACTTCTTCTTAGTGATCTTTGGTATTTTGTTTCTTTTAAGGATTTATGTATTTAATATTAGTTGTTGAATTTATTAGAATAAAGTCATTTATGATATTTCCTTATTATTCTTTTAATAGCTGTAGAATCTATAGTGATGTTGTCACCTCTGTCATTCCTAATATTGGTAATTTGTGTCATTTTTTTTTTCCTGACCAATCTGGTAGAAGTTTTGTAGTTTTATTGATTTTCCCAAAGAACCAGTTTTTGGTTTTATTAATTTTTCTCTATTGTTTTCCTTTTTTGTATTTCATTAGTTTCTACTTTATATTACTTCTTTCTTCTGCTTACTTTGGTTTCATTTGCCTTCTTTTTCTAGTTTTTTGAAGTGGAAGCTGAGGTCATTGATTTGAGACCTTTCTTCTTTTCTAATATAGGCATTTAATCTTACAAATTTCCCTGTAAGTACTGCTTTAGCTGCATCCCCAAATTTTTGGTATGTTGTGTTTTATTTTCATTCAGTTCAAATGCTTTTTAATTTCTCTTTTGGTTTCTTTTGGCCCAACAGTGATTTCAAAGTATATTATCTAGTTACCACGTATTTGGGGATTTGTTAGTATATCTTTCTGTTACTGCTTGCAAATTTGATTTCATTATGATCAGAGGACATATTTTGTACAATGTGAATCCTTTTTAAATTTACTGAGACTTGTTTTTTAGCCCAGAATATGGTCTATCTTGGTAAATGTTTTGTGTCCACTTGAGGAAAATGTATATCCTGATGTTGTTGGATGGAGTATTCTATAAATGTCACTTTTGGTCCAGTTGCTTAGGTTGTGCATGTCTTCTATATCCTTAACCAATTTTAAGTCTACCTCTTTTATCTGTTATGCATGAATGTTTGGATGTAAACAGGAGAAGGCTGAGAAACTGAATTTATTCTTAGGCTTGTGAAGAAGGTTGAGGGCATTATTTAAGCATCAGTCAACAAAGGAGGGTGAAGGTTGGGTTGGAGAGACTGAAGAAGGGTGAAGGTTGGGGTAGTTACTAAGACCAAGAAAGGAGTTGAGTGATACTATATCAGTATTTATAATCAGTGGGGATTTAAAGCTGGTTATAGAATTCTTTATCAACTCCCAACTTTATATATCAGCTAACAAATGTTAACCCTGAGAGGGTACATGAATGAAGTCTACAAATATAGCTTTTACAAAGGGAGAAATCAATTTATAAATAATGTAGAAAGCAGTTAGAAGTCACAAGTAATTTTCTAAAATTTTAAGAGGGATTTCGTTTTCTCAGCATAACTAACTAATAATTCTTTTACTAAATAGTTTAGAAGCAGCAGTACCAAAATGAACATTGTGAGCTCACCATATGCCAAATACTGTGATACAAAAACTTTACATTTATTTTCTTATTTTATTCTCACCTCAGGGCTAGAATCAAATACTGTTAATATTATTCCCATTTTACAAATGGGAACATTGAGGTTTGGTGGGGTTAAATAACATCTCAAAGTTTCATTGAACTAGGATATGATGAAACTGTGATTTCAACCTGTCGAATTTTATAGTGCATCTGTTATTAATTTCCCCATCTTCACTCCTCAATAAAATAAAGAATTCTTTTCGTTCTGAGTTTTACTAGAATAGCCCTTGTTTAGTCAATGGCTATCAAACCTCTTTGACCCGCAATAAAAAATGCATTTTACCTAGTAGCCCAGTGTGAAAATTAGATGTTTATGTGTATATATGTCTTTTATGAAAAGTATACTTGGATCTCACTAATGGATTCAATCTAAGTTTGAGAAATACTGCTGTAAGTCAGGAGAATTATAGAAAAATGTGGATTATTATAGTTGAGTGTGTGTGTGTGGTGCTGGGCATGGGTGGAATATGAGTTACTTTGATACCTGAAAAATACTGCCTTATACAAAATTGATTGCTAAAAAAAAAAAAAGGTGGCTTTTTAAAAAGGTAGACTTGAGGAGTGATTTTTTTGTTTGTTTGTTTTTAAAGCTCTCTGATCCTTCTGATTTACCAAGGAATGCCTTTAGAATTTTTACCATTCTTGTGGAATTTTTATGTATTGAGCATATTGATTATGCTTTGGAAACAGGACTTGCTGGTAAGTATATTTGTGTTATACTTGTGTTAAATTCCTTTCATTCTGCTTTGCTAACTTATATGCATAATGTTATTTATTTTATATATAATCATCTTTGCACGTCAAATTCGGTTCAGAGCAAAGAATTTTGAGCTTGTATCATGAAAAGACTTGCCAGGTGCTGAAAGCTGTACAAAATGGTTCTCTTATATTGTTTACATCCAGCAGAGTAAAGTAATAAACTACATAAGTCACTATAATATATGACACAGTATAGGCACAACATATTACAATGCTATGAGTTATGTCAAGGAACAGAAGTGAAGGTGAAAACAATTGGTTGGGGAATTGAGTATTGTAAGGTTTAGAAAGGACTATTAAAAAATAAGTCTGGAAAGGAATAGATTCATATTAAAATTTTTCTTTTGCTTTTGGTCCTCTGGGCTTACTACATAGTATTAGTAGTGTAATAATGACCTGCCTTCTAGTCTTATTAATCCAGTTGCCCACTTGATCTCTCCACTTATCAGTAGGCACCTCAGATTTAACATATCCAAAATGAAACTCTTTATCTTCCTTCTAAACCTGTTCCTCTCTTATTCTTCCCCATGTCATCAAAAGACATTATCAATATGTACAATTATTATATGTTAATTAAAAAAAAAGACATTACCATTTACTAGTTGTTCAAACAAGCTTCACCCAAACCCAGGAGTTACCTTAATTCTTTCTTTTCCTCAACCCTGACAGCCAACCCATTAACAAATCCTGTCAGTGTATTAATACTTCCAACCATAACTCAAATTCATTTCCTTTTCTCTATTTCCATAGATACCATCCTAGTTTAAACACCATCTTATCTGTCTACTTGTGACTGGTTTCCCTGTATTACTGGCTTTGTGTAACAGCCAGTTTAATTATCATTTTCCTATTTAAGACCTTTTAGTGGCTTCCTATTACTCTTAGAGGGAAACCAACAACAAACTCTTTAGAAAAGCATGATTTTTGATCTAGCCTCTTATATATTTATCCTCATTGCTATTTCATTTCCCCTCACTGCTCAAGTCACTCTGACTTTTGTTCTTTTTCCTCACTTAAGCTATTTGTAATTGATTTTCCTCATCCCTCAAATCCTCTTGCCTCAGCTCTTCTCATGGCTCTTCTCATGGACTTTTCAACCAACTCATCTCAACTAAGATGTCACCTTCTCAGAGAGGCCTGTCTTGATTATCCTAACCAAAGTAGTCCTCCTCTTGCAGCCCAGTTACTCTTTATCTCATCATTGAATTAACTTTTTGAATAGCAGTTATCACAATGAAATTTTTACCTATTAATGTCTACCTCCACTCATCAGAATTCATTCATTTAACACATACTAAGTGCCTACTCCTGTACCTATGGAGTTTTACATTCTTGTGGAAAAGGTAGACAAATGCTTAGGCAGTGCAATGAAAAAAAGTAAAACTAGGTAAGGTATAGAGAATAATAATGGGGAGTCACGATTGAAGATTCAAGGGTGGAAGTTTTTTTTTGGAAAGGATTGTAAGAGAAGGCCTCTCTGAGGAGACATGAACCAGAGAGCTGAATGAAGTGAAAGAGTAAATTGAGTATTTGGAGAGAGAGTGTTCTGGGTAGAAATGATAGCATGTAAGGTCTCTTAGGGGTAGGAATTTTGTCTGTTTTATTCATTGTTGTACTCTAGCATCTAGAAAATACATAGTAGTAGATATGCAAAATTTTTATGGACTATATATACATTCCATTAAGTTTCTCATATTGAACCAAAATTAGCCATAATTCAGTCATTTTGGCTTAACTGTGGTTTTTCTTACTCATTTTTTACACTGTTGCTCTTATGACATAGATGCATTTTTTAAAAATTAATTACAGCAGACCCATGATATCAAGTATTTAACATTTGCCATTTGCAAATGACTTAATATGGCAATTTGTATTGGTATACCTCAAAGATGTAAAGATAAAGAAGATAATAAAAAAGTAACATGAATTTATATCTGGGTGGTGTGAAGGAGTTGTAATTTAGCTAGTATGGAAATCTAGCATCTCCAGGCACTATTCTCAATTTGGAAAGATTTAGAAAATTTCCTTGTAGGATAGAAAGATTCCTCATATTCATAAGTATTTTCCAAGCAGCTATTTAGTTAGTATTCACTGCTATTATTTAATGATTTTATAAAATTCTGTCATGCACATATAAAGTTACTGTACTCTGTTATTAGACATCTTACATCTTTTCAAGTTTTTGATAATATAGATAATGTTGCATTGAATATTGTAGAGCTTAAAATTATTTTTCTTATTTTGATTAATTTTCTTTGGATAAAATCCCAGAATGAAAGTGTGAGATAGATTTTATATATAAAATTTTAAATTGTTGATATATTTTTTTTTATTTTTTCATTTCAATATAAACTATTTTCCTAAAGGTTTTCTTTCTCCACCAGTTTATGCTGCTGCTGGCCTGTATGTGTGTACCAGTTTTTCTGTAATTATTGAGTATTCCACAAAAACTTTAATACTTTAGTAGTTAAAAACATACATCAATATTGCCTTAATTGTCATGTTTTTTATTAATAGCAAAGGTTAGTATTTTTTACATGTATAAATTTTTTTCTCTTTTAAGTTTATTTGTATGGGAGCCTTTAATTTTCTTATCAATTGGTTATTTTGTCTTTTATGGGGAAAAAATCACCTTTGTTTTGCATGTTTAAGACTTTGAAAAAAATCATCCTCCTAACAGTGATCCCCAACATTTTTGGCACCAGGGACAGGTCTCATGAAAGACAATTTTTCCATGGACTGGAATTGGGGTGGGGGTGATGTGAGCAATGGGGAGCAGCTTTAAATACACTTACTGGCCGCTCATCTCCTGCTGTGAGTGTACCCTCTCCCCCTTCCTAAGTTTCATGGAAGACAATTTTTCACACGGGCCTGGGGGCATATGATTGGGGGTATGGGAAGAGTGGGGAAATGGAGCTCTGCAGCCTCGTCCCTAACAGGCTGTGGACCAGTGGGATTGGGGACTGCAGCTATAAAGGACTCTAGATATTAAACCTGTGTTTTCTCATCAGCTATGAATATTTTTTGTAGTCTCTTGCATCTTTTAATTTTTGCTGGAAACATAAACATTTAGAGCTAAAAGAGACCTTAGAGGTCTTCTGTTATTCTTTACGCAAAGAAGGAAACTGAAATCCAGAGATGTCAGCTGACATTTTGGTCAGAATGTAGAGTGGCTTGATTACCATGCTGAAAATCAGGAATTTATTCTGTAGAGGTTAAGGAGATTTTGAGAATTTTTGAGGAAATAATGGAGAGTACTAGTAGTGGTGAGTGAAATGTGAGAGTTTGGGCACATTTCTATGACAGCAGTATATAGGATAAAACATAGACTTGAATAAGGAAGACCAATAAGAAAATTATTTTCACTTCGGGAGGCAGAGGCAGGAGGATTACTTGAGGCTAGAAGTTTGAGACCAGCCTGGGCAACATAGTAAGAACTTGTTTCTACAAAAAATTTTAAAAAATTAGCCAGCACAGTGATACAAGCCTGTAGTCCTAGCCACTCGGGAGGCTGAGGCAGGAGAATCGCTTGAGCCCAGGAATTCCAGGCTGCAGTGAGCTATGATCATACCACCACACTCCAGCCTGGGCAGCAGACTGAGGCTCCATCTCTGAAAAAAAAGGAAAAAAAATTATTTTAAGTATTATCAGAGAGGAGAGGCCTGGTTATAAGAAAAATGATAAGAATGTATTCCTGTCTCTTGTGAATCATTAGGCACCACAGAGTTGGGAAAGGGAAGAAGGTAGAGTTCAAGATGACTGTTGATCTATTTTTTGATTTATCTAAGCAAATCATGAAGGCTAAGTAGATGGTGAAAATTTAAGCACCAAAATAACTTAGGATGAGTTTTATTAATAATAAGCTTAAGCTCGTTTATATATTTCCTCTTCTGTCCATAAAAGTCATTGCTGATTTGTTAAAACAGAAGTTGCTTTAATTTATGTGTATATGAAACCACATTATTTTTTTCTACTGCCAAGATGAATTTCTTCAAGGGTAATTCTAACATATGTATGCTTTCCAATTTTAGGAATTCCTTCTTCAGATTCTAGGAATGCAAATCTCTACTTTTTGGATGTTGTGCAACAGGCCAATACTATTTTTCATCTTTTTGACAAGCAGTTTAATGATCACCTTATGCCACTAATAAGGTTAGTCAAATTTTCTGATTTTCATTGATATTCTACATATATTTTTGTTAAATTTTAAAAGTAGGACATGTTCATAAAAGGTCAAACAGGATAGGTGATATGAAATAAAACATAAAAGTCCTTATGAAGTAAAATGTAAAAGTCCTTTTTCTTCATCCTTGCATTCCTGTTTTCTTTTTCTACTATGTTATTAATTTTGGTATATTTGAAGACTTAATGTGTCACAAACCTAGAACTGAAATCTGATGTGAAAGAGGACCTCCAGCTTAGTGGAACTCAGCAAATTTGACATCCTTCAAAAGATCCAACAGACACAGTCCACTTGTATCCACTTGTTGTAATATAATGACATACAAAAAAATTTATGAGATTAATAGGACTGATTTTGGTGAGGCATTAAGGTTTAGCTTATATCATTGTATCAATTTATGTGAACTTTTAAAAGCATGTGAGAAATAAGATCATACGTGAACATGCTTTGCAAAATTGTCTTTTTAGCACTATTATTAAAGTGGAAAAATATTCATATAAAATTTTTGGCGTCTTGTTATAAATATTGATATGCTAAGGGTAGTCCAGAAACAGTCTCAGAGATCACTTATGATTCTTTGAAAGGTAATTTATTTTTATAGAACTGTTAGGCACATGGCAGAGAATTCACACAATTCTTAGAGTTCCTTGATATTTTTGACATTTTTGATAGCATTCCGAAGACAAATATGATTGTCAAGTTTTTTTAAACTTAAGAAAACTAAATAAATTGGATTGACTATTAGCCTCCCAATTTTAATTAGTATGATTTACTGTGTTCTTAATACTTGGGTGATACCCTATGACTTTTCTTATTACTATGCTAGATACTTATTTATAAAGGAGACCAAATAATTCCAAAATTTCAAAATCACATTGTTAGGAGATGTCTCTTCCAGGATCAGAGTAACAAATTTAAATCATCTTCTTTCTGCTCTTTTAATAGGTTGTTTCTAGTGTGACTATTATAAAAATACATTAGGCATAATGAATGCTAAATAATTCTTTATTATGTGCTTCTTGGATTTGTCAACAAACTAAAATAATATGTGTGAATATGTATTTATAAAGGTACCTAATGTAATATGCATATGCATGTGAAAAGTTTTAGAAATTATAAGGCTATTAATGTGATTTTTTCCCTCTTTAAATATATAATAGCTCTTCTCCTAAGTTATCTGAATGCCTTCAGAAGAAAAAAGAAATAATTGAACAAATGGAGATGAAATTGGATACTGGCATTGATAGGCAAGTTGCTGGTTTTATTTTTTTCTCTTACAATTCTTAAATTGGAAAAACACTATATAATAGCAGCATGAAAATTTTTAGAGAAAAGAAATCTATCTTAATTCCACCATCTTGCTATAACATTTGATTTTATTTTTGCATATTGCCTTCATTCTTATTAGAATATTATTTTTGTTGGATCCTGAGGGTTTTTTTATTTCGAACTATCTCAGCTTTTGACATGCTTTCCTCACTAAGCTTAATCATTGATTTAAATGAAGGTCTGTTGCATGGACCTTCAATTTATTAAAAACATAATATCTGCAAAGAACAATAAAGCAAAGCACAATAAAACCAGATATATCTATATATCCAGACGTGGGATTCTGAATCATATAGTAGTTCTGTTTTTAATTTTATTAGGAATCTCTGTACTGTTTTCCATAATGGCTATACCAACAGTGTACAACTACTCTCTTTTCTTCACATTTTCACTAATACTTGTCATCTCTTGCCTTTTTTGAAAATAGCCATCCTAATAGGTGTGAAGTGATATTTCATTTCCCTGATGACTAGTGCCATTGAGCACCTTTTCATATACCCGTTGGCTATTTATTTATATGATATATCATCCTTTCAGAAATGTGTATGCAAGTCCTTTGCCCTTTTTAAAATTGGGTTATCTGCCCTTTTAAAAATTTGGTTTTTTTGCTATTGAATTGCTTGAGTTCCTTATATGTTCTTGATATTAACCATGTGGGATGTATGGTTTGCAAATATTTTCTCCTATTCCATAGATTGTCTCTTCTTTTTATTGGTTGTTTTCATTACTGTATAGAAACTCTTCAGTTTGATACAATCTCACTTTTGTATATTTTTGGTTTTATTACCTGTGCTTTTGGGGTCATATCTAAAAAAATCTTTGCAACACCCATGTCAAGAAGCATTTTTTTGCTGGGCATGGTAGCTGACGCCTGTAATCCCAGCACTTTGGGAGGCTGAGGCAGGAGGATCTCTTGCGGCCAGCAGTTTGAGACCAGCCTGAGCAACATAGTGAGACTTCATCTCTACAAAAGTGTGAAAAAATTAGCTGAGCTTAGTGGCACATACCTATAGTCCCAGCTCCTTAAGAAACTGAGGCAGAAGGATCGCCTGAGCCCAGGAGTTGGCAGTTGCAGTAAGCTATGTTGATGCAACTACACTCTAGCCTGGGTGATCTTAGAATGAGACCTTGTCTCAAAAAAAGAAAAGAAAAGAATTTTTTTTCCTATGTTTTCATCTAGTAGTTTTACAGTTATAGTTCTTATATTAAAATCTTTAATCTGAGTCAGTTTTTTTTTGTATAAGGGTGCAGTTGCATTTTTATATGTGTATATGTCCAGTTTTCCCAGCACCATTTATTGAAGAGACTATCCTTTCCCTATTTTGTGTCCTTGATACCCTTATTGAAGATAAATTGGCTATAAATGCATGGATTTATTTCTGGGCTCTGAATTCTGTTCATTGGTCTGTTTGTCTTTTATGCCAGTACCATACTGTTTTAATTACTATAGCCCTATAATATATTTTGAAACGAATAAATATAATGTTTCCAGATTTTTTGTTGTTGTTTTTGTTGTTCTTACTCAAAATTACTTTGGCTATTCAGGATCTTTTGTGGTTCCACTTGAATTTCAGGTTTGTTTTTTCTATTTCTATGAAAAATGCTATTGAACTTTTAATAGGGAATGCATTGAATCTGTAGATCACTTTGTGTACCATGGACATGTTAACAATATTCTTCCAATCCACAAATATGGGACATGTTTCCATTTATTCATGTCTTTAATTTCTTTCAGCAATGTTTTATAGTTTTCAATATGTAAATCTTCTAGTTCTTTGGCAGGCTGAGGCCAAGAATTCAAATAGCTTGGACAACATAGCAAGACCCCATCTATACAAAAAAATAAGAAAAATTAGCCAGGCATGGTGACATGTGCCTGTAGTCCCAGCAACTTAGGAGGTTAAGGCAAGAGGATTACTTGAGCCTGGGAGTTAGAGGCTGCAGTGAACTATAACCACACTACTGTACCCCCACCTGGGCAACAGAGCTAAAAAGAAAAAAGAAAGAAAGAAAAGAAAAAGAGGAAGCCTTTATGTTGATCTACAGCACAGTCAAGCTGTTGGAGAAACTGGATGGCATGATAAGTATGAAACATCTTACAGAAGAGTATGATGTCAGAATGACCACTATATATGACCTAAAGAAAAAGTGATGAACAAAAGTTAATGAAAAATAGAAAAACACTACATAAACCTAAAAACGAAGGTCTCAATCATGTACCTAAAGAATGGATTCATCAGCGTTGCAGTGAACACATTCCTGTTAATGGTATGCTGATCATGAAACAAAGATCTATCCTGGATGAACTGAAAATTGAAAGGAACTCTGAATATTCAACAGGCTAGTTGCATTTTAAATATTTGTGAAAAATCATCTGCTGATCATGAAGCAGTGGAGAAATTCATTGACAAGTTTGCCAAAGTCATCACTGAGGAAAATCTGATGCCAAAACAAATCTATAATGCTGATGAAACATCCCTGTTTTGGTATTATTGCTCCAGAAGGACCCTGACTACAGCTGATGAGGCAGCCCCTTAGGAATTATGGATGCCAAGGCAGCATAAATATACTGGGATGTACTAATGAAGCAGACACGCATAAGTATAAAATTGCTGTAATAGGCAAAATCTTGCATCCACACTGTTTTCAAGGAGTGAATTTCTTGCTGGTCCATTATTATGCTTAAAAAATACATGTATTATCAGCAACATTTTTTCTGATTAGTTTCATAAATATTTTGTACTAGTGGCTTGCTCTTCCTGCAGAGAAGATGGGCTGGATAACAACTACAAGATTTGTCATTTGACAACAATTCTGCTCATCCTCCAGATGAAATTCTCATTAAAAGTAATGTTTGTACTTTTTCTCAAATGTAGCTTCATTAATTCAGCCTTATGACCAGGATCTTCTTAGATCAATGAAGAATAATTATAAAAATACTTTCTTGTGCAGCATGCTAGCAGCAGTGAATAGAGGTATGGGTATGGCAGGTTTTCAGGAGTTTAGCATGAAGGATGCCTTATGTGCTGTTACCAACACTTGGAACACAATGACTAAAGACATAGTTGTGCGTGCCTGGCCTATGACTATGTTTAGTGATGATGATGAACAAAGTAATGACTTTGAAGGATTCTTGCTGTATGTGAAGTGAGGAAAAAAATGTCTGACCTGTTCACATATGCAAAAAATATACCTTCAGAGTTCATCAGTTAGCTGAACAAAGCCGAAAAATTGAAGAGGTTTAACATCAGTATTGAGGCTCCAGTTATTCATTCATTGACTGATAATGAAATAGCCAAAATGGTTGTGAATCAAGGTGATCGTGATAATAGCAATGATTAAGATGATGTTGCCAACACTGCCGAGAAAGTACCCGTAGATAGAGAAGTAAATGTGCTATAGGCTTAGTAAAGGATTAGAGCAGCATGCATTCATAACAGAACAAAGAATCATGTCAGTTTGTAAAAATTAAAGAGAGACTTCTAAGACAAAAACTCTTGTTAATGTGGCAGATGACTGGAGGAAACATTTAAAAAGCCATTCAGCAGAATGCCTCCTCATCCCTAGAGGACCTGTTTCCTGGTCCCTCAATTGCTTTGGATGTTTATTCTCACCTAAAAAAAAATTACAGTGCACAGTAACCTTTTAATCAAAATACAGCATCATAGTGGAGACTGAAAGCCTGCCATTTATTGTTGCTGCTGTTTAATAGCCAATACAAGTATTATGATGTTGCCACTGTGCTTAGTTACCCTGAAGACATTATTTTTTCACTGTACTAATGACATGTCTTATTTTTTACTGTTAAGTACTTACATGAGAATAAATGTAAAAAAATGATTGTTCTCTGGTAGCATGTAAACTCAGAGTCAGGTGTGATGGTGACAACCACTGATTGTCCACATGGGTGGCTGAGATAGTGACACCTTTGCTTTCTGATGCTTCTGTTTCATGCACAAAATTATGAAAAATGATGTATAAAATTACCTCAGGCTTTGTGTGTAAGGTATATATGAAACATAAATGAATTTTATGTTTAGATTTAGGTCCCATCCCCAAGATATCTCATTATGTATATGCAAATATTCCAAAATCTGAAAAAATCCAAAACACTTCTGATTCCAATTATTTCAGATAAGGAGTATTCAACTTGTGCATTGTTTTGCCTTTGAAGATCCTTAGTTGTTAAGGAAATGAATTAGTAACAGGCTTCTAAGATTTTGTTAAATAAAGTATTGTTCAAAGAATCTGCCCTCTGTTTTGAGCAGGAAGATGATAAAACCAAGAGCTCTTTGATATTAAGACGTACAATTTACTTTTTCTAAAATCTAGAGTTTACCAAGAGCAAAATAGTTTTATGGTGGCATGAAATTAAATAATTTTAATTTAACACAAGTAATATAAAAGTAAATGTACAATAAATTAAATGGATTAAATATATTGTGTTCTTAATTCTCTAGGACATTAAATTGTATGATTGGACAAATGAAGCATATCTTGGCTGCAGAACAAAAGAAAACAGATTTTAAGCCAGAAGATGAAAACAATGTTTTAATTCAGTATACTAATGTAAGTAAAATGATTCAATTTGCTCAAAGAATATCTGCTTTATTAATACTTTGTTAACATTTTCATTGGTATATCTTACTGTGCCCTAAGGTTTTTTTTATACTTCAAGATTACTGAGAAACTGTATGTATTTTCTCTTTAGCTAAGCTAATATACATTTCTACATAATAACTGTAGAAAAACTTTTACAGGCCTGTGTAAAAGTCTGTGCTTATGTACGAAAACAAGTGGAGAAGATTAAAAACTCCATGGATGGGAAGAATGTTGACACAGTTTTAATGGAACTTGGAGTACGTTTTCATCGACTTATTTATGAGCATCTTCAACAATATTCCTACAGTTGTATGGGTGGCATGTTAGCAATTTGTGATGTAGCCGAATATAGGAAATGTGCCAAAGACTTCAAGGTATGTATACATAAATATCAAACTTGTAAATAGGGTCAGGAATGTAAGTCAGACTGTTAAAAAATGTATATTTACTTTTATGTAATAACTAGTGAAAAGTTTGTAACTTTTGTTGATATTGTATGAATATTAACACATTTTGCGTCATGTTTTATTTTCAGTTCCACAGTCCCGGCCTTATTGACATCCATGGCTAATGCTGTATATGTCACACATTAGGAAAATAATACTCTTTGTTCGTGTATGTCTTGCTGAAATCATTTTTTCCTAAGTTTTAAATTATATAAGAAAAGTACTATATTAATGATAACTAGTTCTAGTCCACCGAAGTATAAAATGATTGTTACTATTGAAAGAAATTGACATAATACCTTTTTAAAAGATTATAGAGTTTATGTAACTACTGAAATCTTTGAGTTTTAGCCCTCCAGGCCTAAGTGAGAAGTTACAAACTAATTGTAAAACGGGAAATTATTTTGTTTCAATGTTGTTTTTTTTCCTCTCTTAATTCAGATTCCATTGGTATTACATCTTTTTGATACTCTGCATGCACTTTGCAATCTTCTGGTAGTTGCCCCAGACAATTTAAAGCAAGTCTGCTCAGGAGAACAACTTGCTAATCTGGACAAGAACATACTTCACTCCTTCGTACAACTTCGTGCTGACTATAGATCTGCCCGCCTTGCTCGACACTTCAGCTGAGGTTGAATTTACAAAGGGAATGTGTTGTACTTCAGCAGGCCTTGGTTGATAGAAAGCACAGGAGACTCCTTATGACACAGCCAACATTTTATGGAAAAAATGACTGTTTGGAAGAAAACAGCAGCCATGGTTACCTTTAAGGTTTTATGTGATGTTTGGACACCACTAGCTATATTTTGTCCCCCCCCTCCCCCGACCCCTCTCCCCCCCACCAAGTTGAATTTTAATTCCATTCTTGAGCTTATAAATTTCAGATTCTTTAAAACTATGTGTGACTGTTTTCATTCTGGAAAATGTTGGTATCAGAAGGCAAATGAAATATTACCAGTGTTGTAGTTCTTGTTCTTTAACATATTCCATTTGGAAATGTTACCATTCTGTTTTTCATTAATAATAGGTGAAATACAGCAAAATCAAGTTTATTATTCAACAACTTTAATGTCCTTTTTAGCACTGGTAATTGTTAATCAAGTTATTTTAAGTTTTCCTGAAGAATTTTTTGCCTCTTTTAAAAGGTTAACAGCATAACTTCCGTAGTAGGTTGATTGGATTTTTTCTGAGGTATAACAATAATACTATTCTAAGAAAAATGTCATAAATTAAATTAAAATGGTGAAATGTTTTATGTAGATATTAGAAGTGGTTCATAATATGTCTGCTTTCTGGGTAAGACTTAAAGTTACTATTTCTTATTTGGTAAATAGATTTTAAGCCAATTCTAGCAAGGAATTAATAAAACTACCTTATTTTGTATTTCACTTTTAGATAAGGTAGCAGACCTTAACTAAAGAATCGTATTTATTCATTATTTTAATATTATAAGGGAAGTAAAAAAAAAAAGTGAGGTATGGTCTAAAAGATGTATATGAGAAATATTGACAGTGGTTAGCAATAATGCAGTCCGTTAAGATTTCTCTATTCATGCTAAACTTGAATAAGATGGGATGGCTGAACATGCAGGTGGTCTTCTATTTTAAAAGGAATTGGGAATTGATAGATATTGTATATTCTTAGTCTGGAGATAAGCTTTGCAAAGACTGGTTGCTTTTCATATCTGTAGGTCTGTTGTTCTTTTTCAAGGCATTTGTGAAGTCACTCCTACTTGGATATAGTTAATTGGCTTAATTTAATTTAGTGACATAATAAATCACTTATAAAATTTTAAACATCAAGTGAAAATTTAGAAAGGCCATTCTATAAACTCTATAAACTTGCTCTGCAAGAATATATTCTAAATTATATGTAGTGAAACTTTAATGTTCATTCTTGGCATTTTTCCTTTAATATAGGCTTTTTGGCCTAATTTTGTTTGGAAAACTGCTTTTCTTCTGAGAACCTTATTCTGAATGGTAATCAACTTTACCAAACCTTCTAGTTCCAGAGCTAACTACTGTTTAAGTTAGTATTTACTGAATTTACTTCATTTTATGTTTAGCCCAGTGTTATCAAGGTAAGCAGGGGAAATGAAGTATGCCAACTTTTGTCAAAGCATTTTAGGACATTGTGGCAGCTTTAGAAGGCTGTCTGATTTTCTATTCTTTAGCCAAGGGAGAGCCAGAACAGGTTTTGGATACTAGAGAAAGTCATATGCTTGTACTATTGCCATTTTAGAAAGCTCTGATGTGAATTCAAATTATACCTCTGTTACTTAAAGCCAACAATTTTAAGGCAGTAGTTTTACTGGCCATTTGAGTTCTTTGTACAGTGTCAATTTGTAAAAAAAAAAAAAAAAAAAAAAAAAATCTCAAATAAAACATGAGATAACATTTTAAGACTTCCTAATCAGAGAATCGCTTCAAATTTTTTGTTTGGATTAATTTTTAAAATGTAAAGCATATACTTGTTGCTTAGATATTTTGTTAATTATTATTTCCATGCTTGAGTTCTGTGCAAGTTTTCATTATGTCCATTGACAAGACATTGACAAAGAAAACTCATGAGTGAATACATAATTTAGAAATGTTAATATTAATGCTCAATAAACAAATTCCTTACAATTGTTTTTTTCACTCTTTTTACATTTTAAGACCATCCATCCTGAATTTTATAAATGATTTTTTTATTTAAAATTTTAAGATGTTTTTTATTTCTCATAGCATAGATCTTCTTACTTCCTTTTTTAGCAGAAAAATACTTGCCTGTATAACCAAGATAAGAAATTTAGCCAAAACAGATGGTCTTTCTGTAAGAAAAAAAAAAGTGTTGTGTGAAGGTATATGCATTCTTTGTATTCTGATTTTTAAAGTATTTTCGTATTTATAGCTATCATAAAATTTTACCCAAAACTTATGGCTTGAAAGAGATGATCAGTAAGTAAAATGTTTTTCATATGCACATTGTAAAATTTTAGGTGGAGATAATGGAGGTTTGTGTATTATTAACTTTAACCAACATTTAAATAAGGGGAATCTTTGCAGTATTCCACAGTTCCACACGAGCTAACATGCGATATTTAGATAATGTATCAAAGTTGAAAATATGCTGTAAAACACTGCAAATTGTTTTTCTAAAACTTGAATATATTATGTGAAATATAGAACACAGGCTTAAGAAGGTAGCGTAACTTCTCTAAATTATGATGTTGAAAATGACAGTCTACCAGAGTAGATGAAGAGTCCTTAAGAAGAATTATTAAATAACAGCTGGATGAATCCATAGACAGATGACAGTCTAACCATTCCAAGATACTTACTGGTCTCATTTTGAGGATTGCCATAGTTGCAAGTCCTTAGGATCTTCCTTTTTTAAAAAAGAGCTGCTAAAGTAGGTTAATTTATGTTATACTTTAGACTATTCTGTTCCCCTTTCACTTCTAAATATTTCACTGTTTTTTTTTTTCTTTTTAAATATTTCTTCTGAATACCAGCCTTCTGGTTCACAATGAAATAATTTAATTATCAGCCAGTAGATTGATTCCAAATGGAGAATTTACTGCTTCCTTAAAATACTTTTTTCTCACTTATGAAGGTAAATATTTACAAGTATCTGAGTAAAGAGATTTTGGTTCCTAAAATGCCACAAAACCCCTTAAGTTAGTCATGTTTGTAGGATAGTGGCTAGGGCATGCTTGTACTGTATGTGAGAGATAGCAAGGTCCACTCAGTACATAGTTTTTGGTGACTACAAAAACTCACATCAGGGAGATTAACATTCTTTTGATGCAAAATTATTCTGCACATTACCCACATATTGTTTCTTGATTTCTCAGAAGTGTGAGATGTTTTCCAGAGGCATGCTGAATTCTCCTGATTTCTAATGGGAATTTGACATACAAAGCATTCTGTGTTTTCATCCGATTGGTTTATATTCAGTTTCTATATTACTTCTCTCTGCTTGAGATCCTGTAATATATACTTTGGAAGAAAAGACCAGTCCATATTGTTAGACTAAATAGTTCTACATGAAGTAAAAACAGTTAGCAGTCTAAAAAATTTAATGCATAATAAATTATGGCTACATTTTTTAAATTTAAGGCTCACACTGTATGCTAAGTCCTTTGCATATATTATTTGATTCCAGAGCAACCATAGAATTTGGGTACTGTTATTGCCATTTGACAGCTGAAAAACCTAAGGCACAAAAAGGTAAGTAGACCAGTCAAGGTCTACAATTGGTAAAAGGCTCAGTTTGAAATCTAAATCTTTCTTACTTACTCTCATGTTCTATATACTATTCTTGTTATGTAACATTAAATAGGTCCTTTAGTTTGATAGGCTCATTAGTTTTGCTTAATCTTTTCATCCAATGTTTGGATCTCATTGTAGCATTTATTAATAGATTATGAAGTTGGTATACAGGGTCAATATAATTTACTATTGTATTTTTTTTAATGTGTTCAATGCGTGGTCATACTTTTTTTAAAGTTTGGTTTTTAAAATTGTATTAAGTATAGTCATAAAATTTTAATTGTATATTAAGTTTATGTTATACCGAATAGAAATCTATCCATCACAAAGTTCTTTTTATTGAGTATTGTTTTATATAATCGTAATACTTTTTCTGCTTAATAGTTTTCACAATAGAAAGAGTCCAGGTATTTTGTACCATATTTTGTAATACAGGAGTAAATGACAACTCTACTTTGGAAGATATGAGGAAATCAGTATTTTTAAGTTCAAAGAGATAGTTTTAAAATGTCATAAGCTTGCCCATTCTGTTAAGCGCTTAGTGCATTGGTAGTTTTTAAATGGCTACTGTTGGAGTGAATGTAGGGCAAAAAGTATTTAGTATATTAGCAATAGATAGTCATATTATGTAATCAAATTTGCATGTTAAGAGTTTTAAAAACTGCCGTTAACTCACCTTTTATTTCTACCACTGATCAGTCATTTCTCTTTCCAAATTTAGGGAGGAAACAACCTTTGAAGTGTATACTGGAAAGAGACCTGATACTTAGAAAATAGGGATTTTAATTGGTGAATTGAAATAGCTAGACTGATAACCCTGGGCTTAACAAAATTCATATTTTTAAACTAGGCCCTATGTATTTTATCACTATTTATTTGATAGGTGCCAGTAAAATTTAGTTTTTGTGATTAAATATCACTTTTGGGGGAAAGACAAGTAATTAAACATACTTGCTCATTTTCTAAGTGGTTTTAGAAGGTTGCAGATTGCCTCACCATAAAAAGCCAATTTAAATAAGAATATATCACATCATACTTCAAATAGCAAACAACTTCAGAGGAAAGTCATTTATTCAGAAGGCATAGATTTGTGCTAGACAGCAGTGATGCATTACAAATATATAATTATTTGCACTAATATTTGAGCAGGTGGAATGGATTAGAACACAGTCAACATTATGCTGCTGATAACATGTATTTTTCTATATTAATATGTACTGTGCAACATGTATTAAAATTGTCAATAATTCATTTTAGCCAAGATACTAATATTTATATTACTGTGTTTAAGAGACAGTATCCAACTGAGCCACTTTTAATTTAAAAGTCTGAAACTGGAATTAAGTTTACTTTCAAAAACCACTTAAATTACTTTATAATCAGTGAAAGGTCAGTAAAACATAGAATTATCAATGCCTGGTGACTTAATAGGAAGAAATGTGGAGGGTTGAGTTTCATTTATAGCTCAGATGAGTGAGTTTCTTTGTTTTCACCATTGGGAATCTTAAATGAAGAAAATGTCTTATCCCTTTCAGCATATCTTTATATTAATAAACTAAGTAAAGATTGAATAGAACTAACTCAAAGAAATTAATCTCCAGTGGTGGACTCTGAGATTTTTGAGATTAGGTTTTGAGAGGTGGGAAGCCTTCCTGATGCCCTTGTAATCTTAAATTGGTGAGTGCCTTTGAATGAAGCCATCCCTTTTTTTCCTGCCTATCATTTTAATCTTTATACTGTGAGTAACTTTGGTTCCTTTGAACTCTAGCCTTTTGTGGCATTTCTATCAAACCTGCAGATTTTTGCTGCAGAGAATGTTATCCAAATAGAATCTGGACAATGCTGACCTAAAGAACACTGTGAAGCTACCTCTAAGTATATATTTTTTTAAAATACCATGTACCATTTAGAAGATAACATGGGGATTGACTGAATTATGTAAAAATATTTTATAAGGAATAATACTAAGTGCCTCTCTATTAGGATTCTCCAGTGCAATGTATTTTCAATTTTTGCCACAAGGGGGAGAAGTTATTTTTATAATGATCTCTACATTTTTGTTTGATTTCAAAAAAAAAATTCAGATAACTTTACCACATAGCATCTATAAACATTTCACTCTCATAATAGGGTGTGTGGGTGTGTGTTTGTGTTTAAACAAGATTCTGAAAGTCATGAGAAAAATTTCTGAGGGAATTAATGACACAAAACAAAAACAGTTTTGAAAAACATGTATGTGCACAGTGGACACAGGAATTGAACAAAGTTCAACATGATTAAAATTATGTTTTTTAGAGTTATATATATCACATTGAATTCCTTTATCAACTCGTTAAGTAAAATTCTATTGATCAGTTTTCTGCATTATGCTTTTTTTTAAGAAAAATTTTTAAATCTCAAACTTATGAAGGATTGTAAATACTGTACAAATAAATTTTTTTCCGTTTAAGAGTAAGTTGCTATCATGGTGCTGTATCACCCTCTAGTACTTTTGTATTTCCAAAAAGAATTCTGTATAACCACAATACAACATCAAAATTAGGAAGTTAATATTGACATATTACTACCATCTGATCTTCAGACCCCATTCAAGTTTTAAAAATTGTTCCAATAATGACTTATTAGGATCCAGTTCAAAATCACTTATTGCTTCAGGTTGTAGTGTTTGTAGTCTCATTCACTCTGACACAGTTCCTCAGTCTTTCCTTGACTTTTGTGAACCCTGGCACTTTTGTAGATTGTAGGCAAGTTATTTTGTAAGATGTTTACATTTAGATTTCTTTTTCTTCATGATTAGATTCCAGTTGTACTTTTTGTACTTTAGGATGCAATGAGAACACAGATTCTGTGTTCTCATTGCATCCTATCAGGTGGTGCACAATTTTTATTTGCTCATTTCTGATAATGTTCATTTTGATTGCTTGCTTAAGGTACTGCCTATCAGACTTCTCTACTGCAAAGCTTTTATAATATTTTTCCCAATGTAAATATTTTGTGGGGAGGTACTTTGAAGTTATACGGATCCTGCTCCTAATCAGTGGCAGATTCATGGTTTTCTGTTCCATGGATTATAATCTGTTATTTTACCAAATCTCAAATTGTCCCAAGTTTGGTCAGTAGGAGCCTCTTCAAGTTGGCTCCTGGATTCTTTTGACATGTTCCCATCATTTTTAAATCACTTTCTTACTGCTGGGCACAATAAGATTTTCTCAAGTTCATCTTGTACATGCCTAGCCCCAGCTCTGGAATCAACCATTCCTCCACCTGTTAGTGAAATTGGTAATCAGAAGCCAAGATTTGGACATGAGATGTGTTTATTATGTTTGAGATATCACTGCCCCTACTCCTTCCTAATGGATAGTGCTAGGGAG